AGCCGACGAGGTCGATGTACATCTTTTGCTCCTCCGGCTCCCGCTTGACGGTGACGAGCTCGCCCTCCTCCGGCTCCCTCTTCACGGGAGAAGTGCCGCACCAGAGGTGAGCCACGCGGCAGAGGAAGAGCCCGCGGCCGAGGAGAGCGTCCTCCCGTGCCGGCGGTCGCAGTCCTTCGTCTCGCGATGGAGGAGCGACGCCAGCGGCTGTAGGCCTTGGTTGGTCCACTTCTTGGCCGCACGTTTCCTTGCGCCGTCCGCGCGCACACACCGCTCGCGCTCGGGGGCGTCGCCCCGGTCGGAGCTGCGATCGGAGCTCCACATACCGCCCCACATGGCGGCTGGAGGCGGAACTGGGCTCACCGGCGGCGAGAAATGCGATAGAGGGAGTGGGGAATCGCGGGGAAACGCGGTGGCGGGGGATAAGGTTTCGATCCGTATCTGCCCCGCAAACCCGTAGTTATACGGCCTCGAGGGTAAGTTTTGCGGGCCGTGGTAAAAAGAATTACGGGCCGGGCGAGTATACCGGCTCTGATCTGGCCAGAAAGTTGGGCCAAGTCTGTATACTCACCGGAATTATGCGGGTTCATGCGTTATACGGGGTCTACTAGATATGCTCTAAAAGGAATAGGCAGCCTGTCTCGCTAGCACTGGACAAGGACAAGAGCAAATTTAGTTAAACATGATTTGTTTTTAATGTCTTCATGGACCGGAATATAATTAATTTTCAGTCAGTCTTATAAATTTATTCATACGTTTTCTTACTCTTACAAAATTTGCTCATGTATATCCACCTTTTTTTTACTCGACTATAAAAAAATGAAATCTGATCTCGGTAGTTGTCAATTTGGCTAATCCTTAGTTGATTTACAAATTTGTTCATGATCTCGGTGGTAATAATTTGATCGTGTGTAGTGCAAAAATAGTAGGATTTTTTCTCAAAGTTCAATTTGTTTTTAATAAAATCTTGCACAGTTCTTCAACAATACCCGGTACCAATTGAGGACTAAGAAAATTCCAGCTGAAAATTAGCAAAACCATAAGTAAACACATGTTACTGTTTCGGAGGCAAAACACCATGGTGCATTTGAACACTCCAAGATAAGCTTTTTCGAGGAAACAAACACTTTGTTCCTTTTGCTCGCTCCTCGCACATTGTCCATTGCACCTCGATCAACTGTAAGGGCTTTCTGGGATTGCAGGTAAATAAAAAACGTAGGAACATGAAAAACGTGTGGAATAGGGGGCATAGGAATGGATTCCATATGAATTTTACAGTCTCAATCCTATGATCCAAATTGCCTTCATAGGGAAAAAAATCATTGGGATTCAGATCATATGAACATCTTACAATCCAAATAATCCCTAAATAGAGTGTTTGCGCTATAAAGTCAGGCCAAAGGAGAAGTGTAAAGTTTTTTCTTGCATTTTAATGGATAATTGTTCTTGTTTTTGTATTCGCAAAAAAATTGTTCTTGTTCTTCACTCTAGCCCTTGATTTTTTTGAGAACACGTAAGAGATTTGCATGTCTATATATTTGGTCCACTCAAAATTGGGAACCAGATCCAGAATTGAACACCTCAATTGAACAAAAACTATGAACCAAATTTAAAATGATCTCAATCAAAATTGTTGACCCAGTCAAAATCCTGAACCAAATCCGATATTGGACACCTAAATTAAATGAGAGAGCTCCAAAATTAAGGAGCATAGTGTATTTATAGATAGATTGCTGGTGATGACTGCGATCTGTAGCCCTTGATTTTTGTAGAGCGTCACATATGTTTAAACACTCATAATCACTAAAAATTTGCACATAATATGTATTTTGAACCGAATAATATATCATTTTTAAACAGATTTTTTTCATATATAATTTGTAACTTAATGAAATTCAAATATGAAGTTCTAACCTAGGTGGTCACGGATGGTGTCATATATTTTCTCCGTTCGGGTTTATAGGGCCGCACTTATGGAAAGACATTTCCCCATTATTTTGTTTGATAAAATATTAGTTATATACCATGAAAAATATATTATTCGATTCACATTAAAAATAGTTTCCAATGCGTTATGCTGAATAACTTATACTCCCTACATTCCTAAATATATGTCTTTTTAGATATTCCAATGCGGACTACATATGGAGCAAAATGAGTGAATTTACACTGTGAAAAATATCTATATGCATCTGTATGTAGTCTTTATTGAAATCTCTAAAAAAGACTTATATTTAGGAACGGAGGGAGTATTTCCATGATGATTCTATGGTTATTTTTTTTATAAAATACATGCTTAAATCATGAAAACAATGCATACCCGTACGCATCATAACCCTGAACAATTAATATTGCATTGTCTCTGCTGGGAGCTCGGATCAGAACTTCTGCCATGCCCTGCTAGCTACCATCTAGCCCGGCCCTGCCCTGACATACATATGTATATATACAGTCGTACAGACACACGGCATTCTTTTCTTATCTCGATGTAGAAAACATGTGATTCCTGCAGCTGGCTCTCGTCTGATAAAAAGATTGGAACTAGCAACGACATACTAGTACTGTGCCGCAGAGACACAGCCTTACGTACACATATGCATGTGATCTTCTGAAAGTCTGTCCTCCTTAATGATGTATTAGTAGTATTGGTAAAACAATGATGGAAACTATGATGAAATAATTACATAAATCTGTGCCCACACCAGTAATTGTATTGCACTCCATGACACCATGTGTCTTTTGGCCTCTCTCTTAGCTTTCAATGATTCAAATGAATTTGTTCTTTTAAGAGTTCAAATCCTTGGAATTTTTGTTGAGTAATGGATCTTTGGAAAAAAATATGTGGAACTTTGCTCTCAGTTTTAAAGGAATTTTTTGACGGAATCTAACTTCTTGGAAAAATTCTCAATAGGTTCCTATTTTCCTCTCCTTGTCGAATTCAAACACATTATTTGGTGTTGATTATGAATTGACACATGGAATATGCTTATCTCTTTTAAAGGGATATTTCGTTCACTCAAAACATCACACCAAGATATCAAAAATGATGTCCAGTGGGTAAGATAGAACCCACCCGGGTGAGATAGGATTGGAACCCTAGGTAATCAACATGGATGCACCACTATGAACCTACCACTAGGCAGAAACCCAGACCCCACTTGAAATGAAGTCTTATCCGGTCTCTGCATAACAACGTGCCCTATCTATTTTGAATCCTATGAATCAAAGTTCTTATGTATGTTGTAACTCGATGTCTCACTATTTTCAAGTATATTGCAATATGGACATTGATGACAATTCATGTTTTCAGAAAGAAGACAGTGATTGGTTTAGTTGATTATTGCTTGCGTACATGAAATGCCTGATTTTTTCCATTTCAACTTGGCATGCCCATGGATTACTTACCATATACACAGTGTCACAATAACAAAACCAATCACATTTACTTCCACGCCCTAGATTCAAGTGTTTAGGTATGTGTATTCATGTGACCTACTTCTGCGTGCCAACTGCCAAGCTAGCCAGCAAAGTAGCCATGCCATTGCCAGCCCCAGCAAGTAGCTAGTGTGGGCAGAAAGCACATCACAGCAATGGCTTGATTACAAGTTTACATTTTTACACACACCCATGTCTTCCTTTTGTCCCCACAAAAGAGCATGCACACAGACACAGTGGGTGGCCTGACATGGAGATCTCTGCCCCTCCCTCCTCCCTCTAAAAAAGCCATAGAGGAGCAAGATTACAAAAGGAAACCAGCAAGAAACAAAAGCTCATCCACCTTCCCCCCTTTCCCAGACCAGACAGGGCATGCAGCAGCAGGCATCAGCATGCATGTAGTACCAGTACTAGCAAACTAGTCCATGCATGCACTCATGTGTAGTCATGAGAGCTAGCTGCTCTCACTGCTGCATGCCACACTGGCTAGCCATACTTCTGTGCACTGCAGCATGCACCAACACAAGCAATCATTGATTGGTTCCCCTTTCCTCTCCTCCATATTCAAACAATCAAACTGGCATATGCATGCCTAGATCATTCAATATGTCCAAGCCCCAAACATTCATTCATTCACAAGACCAGACAGACAGGAAGCATGCTGCTACATTGCTATGCAATGCGTTGGAACAAACATCTTTGTTTTGATCTCAGGACTTGCCATGCATTGCTACATGTATGCATGCAAACATCTTCGTTTGATCCGAAGACTTGTCTTACATGCATGCATGCATATATGGCTAGCTAGCTGCACGGCCTGACATAATCAAAAATGGACTTGTGTGGGATCTTGTAAACAGAAATGCTTCCAGAGTTATCCAATGTATATGTAGCATATGGCAATCAAGTCTGGAACTTTGCATTGTGCATATATTCTGACATGAACTGTTATTTTAGGGGCTGGGTTTGCCATGGCTTTGAAGCAACATTTGATTAAAGCTCAAGCAAACCCTAATGGTAAATTAAAAGAGTGGTAATATATATCCCTAATTATACATGGCATATTGGCATCACCAAGGAGAGTTAGCTAGCCATATAGTGGTATATATGGAGAATTGGAAGTAATTAACCATCACACAAAACTAGTTAACTTTGAAAGCAAATTAACACGCTGTATAGTAGTAGTACCATTACCATGGCATGCATGAGATCGATCGCCATATGCAACCGTATCAGATACTATGAGCTATGGCCGCCGGCCGGCCAACTAGCTGATTGATTAAGCCGCCGCTTGCATGTTCATGTCAGCGATGCGTCTCCTCTTGGGCCGGTCGCCCGCGGCAGCCCCCTGCCTCTCCACGAGGGCCCTCAGAGCCTCCTTGAGGAAGTCGGCGCCGCCGTCCTCGGAGGATGAGGAGTAGTCGTCGTCAGCGTGTTCTCCGGCGTCGCGCGCGAGGACGAGCACGTTGCGGACGCGGCCGCCGAGGGTGGCCATCTCGGCGCGGAGCGTGCGGAGGCGGAGCGCGCGCAGCGTGTCGATGAGCCCCGGGAGGAGGTCGGAGCGGTCGTCGCAGCAGAGGGAGGCCTCGAACACAGCCGCCGCGCCGCCGGCACCGCCGCCTGAAGCGAGCACCACGATCTCGTCGTGCTCCGTGGGGAACAGGTGGCTCGCCGGCGCGGCCGCCTCGCCGACGACGCCGGCCATGCGCTGCTTCAGCTCCCGCACTCTCTCTACCGCCTTGGCCAGCAGCGTTGCCTTGTCTATCTGTAAACACACATGTAGAAGATCAGTTCATGAGCTAAAGTTCATCAAGAAACCTTGTTTGCACAATCAATCTCTCAAATGACGAACCCTAGAGCTTATGATTGATCAGAAATGAAAAAGGGTAGAGAGGAGAATGTGAAAAATTATGCAAAATTGTAGACATGGTACTAGGCACAAAAGAAGCAAATCATGAAGAGGAACAAGCCAAGAGACGAGAGGCAGCCCTAACCTGACCTAGCTAGTCAGTGTCATTCATAGGATGATAGCAGCTAGTAGTTAGGAGAGGCTCCATTCTAGTGCTACTTGCACACACAAAATCCAGCTTTAATCACAAGGATTAGCTGAGCTGAGAACCGTAGCAGCTAGCTACTCATGGGGATAGCATCTACCCACTGCAATCCACGGTAGAATTCCAGATGGATGACAGGCAATCCAGTTCTTCCATAAAAGATTTCGCTTGATCGATCTCGCATCGATCGAGCATGTTGCGCAGAAACTAAATTAGGGGGAAATCACGAGGGCACAGGACTTAGATGTGTAATGAAATTGCCTTGGGGTCGCAGGCGAGGACGGCGCGGAGGCGGTCGAGGTGCGACTTGATCCGCTCGCGGCGGCGCTTCTCGGCCTCACGGTGGTTCCGCGTCGCCACCACCGCGCGGTCGTGCGCCGCCTCGGCAGCCGCAGCGGCGGCTACCTCGTCTTCCTCGGACAAGGCAGCCGCGACGCCGCCGCCCGGCGCCGACTGCCACATGGAGCCCACGAAGAAGGGCGGCAGCATGGCCGCCTCGGCGCCGGCGAACGACGCCTCCGCCGGAAACATGCCCGCCAGAGCTACCTAGAGCTTCTCGCCCAGGTTCTGCCTCGATCACACCTCGTCAAGCTGCTAGCTAACTAACTAACTAATTGCCGCGGTGGTGTTGTGCCGTGAACTAACTACTGTTCCTCGGACATGGACTGGAATCGAAGAGAGGAGAGAAGAGAGAGACGGATGGGATGGGGGAACGAGGAGAGGCGAGAATAAATAAACGGGGCTTCGAGGAGAGAGGGAGAGCGCATGTGGGTGGATAGAGATAGAGAGAGAGGGGGGAATGTTAGAGAGAGACGGGGCGACGTGAGGTGAGTGAGTGGCCGGTGGGCCCGCTTGTTGACCCGTCAGAGATAGAGGGCTGTGCCTGTACGAGCCCTGTGAGCTAGGGATGACGGGATGATGGCCGATGGCCTAGAGTGGTAGAGATGTCCCGGCGGGGGCGGTTGGACGGCTGCGATGGTGCCGACCTTGCGCCGGCCGTCGCGCTCCGACGGGATACGGCCGTGGCGGTGATGGCGATCCGTCCGGATCGACCGTTTGACTCCGGTGCAACAGCGTACGCTAGCTCACACTCCGGGGGAATGTTTGCCTTGTCTTGCCGCGTTGTTGCACTACCACTTCAACTAGCCAGTTGGATGAAAGTGAAACCCAAGTAGTTCTCTGTCTATGGAGAAGAGAAAAGTGCGTCCCGGGTTTTCCTTGCGTGACCAGTCGCCAGATCATGCTTATATTAACAAGTTTAGTTGAAATCCAAATTAAGGATTGGTATTAATACCAGGGTATTTGGTTTACACTGGTTGATTTTTTTTTCTTTTTGAGAAAATACCACACTGGTTGATGATGGCAGGCCCCTGGGTGTACTCGTAGGCCGGCAGTCGGCTCATTGGGCCACAGGGCGGCCCAAGCCCACAACCTGACCAATGGCGCACACAGGGACTAATCATCAACTTCGTGTAAGCCAGTCGCGGAGCGTCAAGCATATTGAAGGACGGGCCGGTTACTTGCTCACTAGGCCATCGGTGGTTCTTGGGAAATTTTTGTAACAAGTCTAGAGAGAAAGCCAGAGACAAGGACAGGCCATGGCCCGGTTTGGTCCCCATGACACTCCGCCGCCGGTGTAAAGCCCCTCAAAATTCAACTTGGTGCACAAGAGTATCACGGCCGAGATCTAGCTAGGAGTATCCCACGAGATTAGGCTTGATTGCACCGACCAGGGAGTCATGTAAACCCTAGCTCTGCCCCCCTATAAAAGGCATGGCTAGGGTCTTCTCTCGATAAATCATCTCATGCCTACATGATCCTTGTGATCTCACCATTGTACACAAAACCCTAGTTCTCATACGAGGCTAGTCCACCATTATTACATCAAAGAAAGAGTAGGGTGTTACCTCGACGGTGAGGGCCTGAATCTGGTAAACTGCCTTGTGGGAATCCCATCTAGGCAACCAGCTACGTGCACAATCCTATGATGATTACTGTTGGATCATGAACCGATGTTGGTAATCGTGATTGTCAACCGCCCTTGTTTTTTTTTTGCGAAAAGGAACAAACACAAAAGAGGGAACAAACCTCACAAGTTCCCCGACGAATCGTATTTAGTTGGCTTCAACAGACGGGAATGGAGTTGGAGAACAAAAACATGCGGCAACATCATCCGCTCTGTGATAACCCACAAGTATAGGGGATCGCAACAGTTTTCGAGGGTAGAGTATTCAACCCAAATTTATTGATTCAACACAAGGAGAGCCAAAGAATATTCTCAAGTATTAGCAGTTGAGTTATCAATTTAACCACACCTGAAAGACTTAATATCTGCAGCAAAGTATTTAGTAGCAAAGTAATATGGAAGTAACGGTAACGGTAGCAAAAGTAATAGTAGCAGTTTTGTAGTAATTATAACAGTGGCAACGGTAAAGTAACTAAGCAAAGATCAATATGTGAAGAGCTCATAGGCATTGGATCAGTGATGGATAATTATGTCGGATGTGTTTCCTCATGCAATAGTTATAACATAGGGTGACACAGAACTAGCTCCAATTCATCAATGCAATGTAGGCATGTATTCCGAATATAGTCATACGTGCTTATGGAAAAGAACTTGCATGACATCTTTTGTCCTATCCTCCCGTGGCAGCGGGGTCCTCTTGGAAACTAAGGGATATTAAGGCCTCCTTTTAATAGAGTACCGGACCAAAGCATTAACACTTAGTGAATACATGAACTCCTCAAACTATGGTCATCACCGGGAGTGGTCCCGATTATTGTCACTTCGGGGTTGCCGGATCATAACACATAGTAGGTGACTATTGACTTGCAAGATAGGATCAAGAACCCATATATATTCATGAAAACATAATAGGTTCAGATCTGAAATCATGGCACTCAGGCCTTAGTGACAAGCATTAAGCATGGCAAAGTCATAGCAACATCAATCTTAGAACATAATGGATACTAGGGATCAAACCCTAACAAAACTAACTCGATTACATGGTAAATCTCGTCCAACCCATCACTATCCAGCAAGCCTACGATGGAATTACTCACGCACGGTGGTGAGCATCATGAAATTAGTGATGGAGGATGGTTGATGATGACAACGGCGACGGATTCCCCTCTCCGGAGCCCCGAACGGACTCCAGATCAGCCCTCCCAAGAGAGATTAGGGCTTGGCGGCGGCTCCGTATCGTAAAATGCGATGAATCCTTCTCCTTGATTTTTTTCTCCCCGAACGTGAATATATAGAGTTGGAGTTAAGGTCGGTGGAGCCTCAGGGGGCCCACGAGGCAGGGGGCGCGCCCAGGGGGGTAGGGCGCGCCCCCACCCTCGTGGACAGGGTGTGGGCCCCCTGGTCTTGATTATTTCGCCAGTATTTTTTATTAATTCCAAAAATATTCTCCATGAAGTTTCAGGCCATTCCGAGAACTTTTATTTCTACACAAAAATAACACTATGGCAATTCTGCTGAAAACATCGTCAGTCCGGGTTAGTTCCATTCAAATCATGCAAGTTAGAGTCCAAAACAAGGGCAAAAGTATTTGGAAAAATAGATACGACGGAGACGTATCACTCTGCATGTCGTCACCAGAGATAAATGCTAATCACGCCAGACCGAGTGCTCGGCGATTGACACCCATCTCCGACTCATCAACGCCACTCCTAGGAAGGCCAATGACATACGAAAAGCCGATGAACCACTATTCACATTGCTGCCACTGCCCCAACTTCAGCAGCGACGAAAAAACTCAATTGCCCGACAAGACACAGACCAGACACATAGATCTGAGGTTTCCCCATCCTCTCGCTACTGTGGCAGCTGGTGAAAGGCAGAGGGACTTGTGGCAGTGCCGACAAGTCGGTGAGAAAAGTTGGCCGCCTCCTTGTTGCCTTATGTCTTTCAAACCCTAGAACGCATACGTATCAACGTAGTTGTTTGCCTATTTGTCCCTAACCTCCCTTGATGGATGGGATTACATGAAAAATAGTATGGGGGCACAAGTTTGTAAACGGTAGGGATGCGTGGTGAATCTCACTGAGTACAACGAACCAAACCATTGAGCTAATTAAGTTGCATTGAGTGTATGTTACATGGTTCGTGGAATCGTGGTATTTGTCGAAGTTAATTTGGACAAAAAATCATTTGAATTTTTTGCATGGCCATTGTTTGATGTATTCTGCTGATCGTGGAACTGTAGATCTTAGTCCCTTTTGATAGAAAAAGATGTCAATTATAAAACAAAAACTTTGATTAATATGAGGTGTATAATATATATTTTAGATTATTGGAGAGGGGCTTAAGCTCCTTCCATTGTTTCCCTCCATTTTTGTCATCGTCGAACGGACATGGAACCCAATTGGTAGCGAAGCATTTCAAACATAGCCAAAGGTGTATGCATGCTCGGTCGCTAAATGCAGGAACCCTTACCAGTGACAGGGCCCAATTTACTGCCTAAAAAAGCTAGGGCTCTCATGTACTTCAATTTCTCTTTCAGTTGGCAATTGTAAGCACCCCAGAGGTTTTTCTCCAAAAAGTAGATAGAAGAATTCTTATAAGCAATAAATGAATTAGTGTTCCTTATGAACATTAGATGTGGACAAAACAAAGAGATGTGAAAGGAAGAGTGTTTTGTATCGACATGGGTAAGATGGCTGCTATAGCCGTTTCTGCAGTAATGAGTTGAATAAAACATTGACAGGTGACATTACCATTGTATTATATCTACTCTAGCCCTCGCCAAAAAGAAGTGAGGGTCATGCTACTAGAGGAGAACCCCTTCGTTGTCCGGTGCCGATCCCTCTCGCCTCTTCTCCCGTGACCCTTTGTCTTTAGTGTAAATTTATATCTCTAATTTCAATTATTAATTTCTACTCCCTCGCTCGGAATGGAGGGAGTAGATTGGTCCCCTGTTCTTCTATGTTGAGTTCTTCATCTGGGTATTTTTGTCCTTGGCTGATTTTATGATAGTTCTGACATCCTGGAAACCGACATCCATGGCTAGTCTTGCTGCAAGCAAATTTTCCCTTATATATTTTCATGCGATAATGAATAACACAACCAATATGGGGAGAAAAGAGAGATCTTTGACGGTGAACTTCATTCCCAGTGTCACCATCGATGACAGTGAATACACGATTTGCAAGGTAAGGAGTTGACGACATGGATGGATTATGATACGTCTTACTCTCACACCCATCCACATGTGGATTTGATGATATCATGCTACATTCACCTAAATTTACTATCTAACCGAAAAAGTATCTAATCTCACCATTGCTGGAAAGAAGTGGACATTATGCTACTAGTGGACAACCCCTCAATTGTTCGGTGTCGGTCCCTCCTGCCTCTTCTCGAGCGTTCTCATTGTTCTTTAGTAGGCAAGGAGCCTTTATTTTTAGTGTAATTTTAGATCTCTAATTTCATCCTTTTTAGATTTTTTGTTCTTCTCTTATGCGTTCTCCGCCGGGGTATTTTTATCCTTGGCTAATTTTATCATATATCACCAACTTCCTAGAAA